TATCTCCTTCCTTTTGCTCCAGCCTATCTGCAGACTGTTGTATTTCAGCCTCCACAACCATCTCTATGTTCTCTGACTGAGTAAAGTTTGTCCTCTCTGTTCTAGCCTTTTTTCTGAAGCAAGTTGATCCTGGAAGGGTACTATGTAACAATTAAATGTATTGAATTACTGATGTTCTAAATAAACCAGATCAAAACACTGTGGTAGCCTTGCTGTCTCTCCTCCTCTTTCTCCTGTATAATAAAACATTGTACTAGAGCTGAGTAACAGTATAATCCCTTTGCTTAACCCAGTGGTTCTCAACCTTGTTAGACTCAAAGCACCCCTCAGAAAATGTCAGTTTTCACTGGCTTTTTTTTATTACAGAAAAATAATAGAGTAATTCTTCTGTTGTAAATAACTCACAAAGACTCCCAACAAGTTAGAATGTTTTTAACACTATGGATTCCTATTTGAAATATCTGGGCATGTCCAGAGAAGCACGCACATGCGTATGTGGTGCCGCAGACCCACCTGCAGCACTGCACATTTCACATGCAACATGCAGGTTTTTCCCACACTGCTGATTTGCAGCACAGGGAGTGGGGTTTCAACACTGGGAGAGCCCGGTGTCAACAAAAACCCACAATGAAAAAAAGTGGGGTGGCACACATGGTGGCAGCATGTGCCACCCAAAACCAGAGCTTGTCTGGCCAGACCCACACTCTGGCTGCTGGCCAGGCTCTCTGCTGCTAGATTACCACCAGTGGAGCCCCAGGAGGCCCCCAGGACCCCAGGTAAGGCTGCTGTGGTCAGCTCAGATGCTGGCCTCAGCTTCCCCTACCTCACTCAGGGAAATATGCCACATGCCAGAGCACAAGCATCCCCATATTGTGATGCTGCTGTTTGTCCCCAAGGAAATGCATGTGCCTCCATGTCTGGAGTCAGCCTCTGGGTTTATCTTGTAAATCATGTTTGCACATCAAACAGTGCTAACATTGTGTGGCACCCTGCAACGCCCTTTAAAAAGATCTCAAGGTACCCCACAGTGCTGTAGCACCCTGGTTGAGAATCACTTTCTTAACCAGTGTTAAGAAACACTGATGCCATACAAATTAACAATCTGATGATATTCTTGTTGGCAGTTTTACAAAAATCAACCAGCAGGTTCCCACAAAATACAAAGAGGAGTTGAACTGGCAATAACATACCACCTTCCAAATATCTGCATAAACTATCCAGCTTCTTAGACCAGCACAGGTATAACCATTTCAAGTTTTCTGGAGGCTGTGCTTACCTTCAGATGAGCTACATGGTTGTGGAATTTCAGACTCCACCAAGTCATCTAGTTGACTTCTGGCTGCAAATATAAGGTGTCTAGATATCTAAATAGGGAGTGTATATCTCTTCTTCCTATCACCAGTGATTTGTTGCTACATGCCCTTCCTAAAGCAATGTGATATCAGGCCTGTCTGAATATTTTAGGTTTGAGACATCCTTACTGGCTTGTGCAATTGTTCATTGCTTTATGAAACAATTTTAAATTCATTGCATATTGGTCTCATTGTATTTGCATTGTCAGTGGCTAGCACTGGCAGTCAGGTTGGTGACCGTAGGTATAGTTTGCTGTCTGTTGGCTATCTCATGGTTTCCCTTGGAGTCCTGCAGTAATATCCCTGAGTTCAATATTGTTTGTGTGGCTTTCTACCTTGTTTACTGCAACATGCATTAGTGGTATACTCCTGTGGCACATTCAGAGAGGTTTATCTTTATCCCAGAGTTGGGTATATGTTTAGAAACTAGCAGTGGCACAACAAGAAGGTGGAGGGGAGGTGGAGAGGGAGAGAATAATGTTCAATAGGAAAGTGCCTTAGGATACATCTCAGATTCAGTTTAATCTTTCTGACAGAGAGTCAGATGTGACATAGCACATTGTCTCAGTAAAAATGCATTTAGCAGCCTTAGACCTTTAAACCTGAAATATGTCTCTGTAGTTTTATTGAGGCCTGGAAATGAATGGCAGTAACAGTCAGCCAGACTGTCTGAACTTTCCTCAGATGCAGCCATCTCCCTTGTGTGTTAACCTATGCAAAATGGAGTTTGCAAACCCCTTGGAAATGCACTATCTGACATAATCAAAAAGAAGTTGTACTGCCACCAGTCCATCCAGGCCACATCTGTGTTCTCCTACCAACACAACTTTGCCACAGCCCCTCACAACAAAGACTCAGAACAATGGGTGCATCCAGGATTTTGTGAAGGGGCCTGTGGAAGCTACCCCACACTGCAGGTGTAAATACATCCCCACTCCCAGCAGGTGCCCCCCACATGCAGCAGCAGGGATATATTGTTTTAAGTCCCCAGATCAGATACGAATCCTATCATAGATTCATAGATGTAGGGTCAGAAGGGACCTGAATAGATCATCAAGTCTGACCCCTAGGCAGGAGTGAATACTGGGCTCATATGACCCCAGCTAGGTAATTATCAAGCCTCCTCTTAAGGACCCCCAGGGTAGGAGCCACCACCACTTCCCTTAGAAGTTGGTTCCAGATCCTAGCCTCCCTGACTGTGAAGTAGTGCCTTCTAATATCCAGCCTGAACCTACTCTCAAACAACTTATTGCCATTATTCCTTGTTACTCCGGGAGGTGCTCAGGTGTACAGGGTCTCTCCCATTCCCCGCTGGTCCCCCCTAGTAAGTTCATAGATGGTCACCAGGTCCCCTCTCAGCCTTCTTTTGTGAAGGCTGAACAGGTTCAGGTCCTGTAGCCTCTCCTCGTAGGGTCTGCCCTGCTGTCCCCAGATCATGCAAGTGGCCCTCCTCTGGACCATGTTGATGCTGGTCACATCCCTCCTGAAGTGCGGTGCCCAGAACTGGATGCAGTACTCCTACTGTGGCATGACCAGTGTTGCATAGAGGGGGAGGATCATCTCCTTGGCCCTGCTCATGATGCATCTGTAGATGCATGACAAGGTGCAGTTGGCCTTACTAACCACGTCCCCACATTGGCAGCCCATGTTCATTTTGGAATCGATAATGACTCCAAGATCCTTTTCTGTCACTGTGCTTATGAGAAGGGAGTTCCGCAGCGTATAGGTATGCTGCTGGTTCTTACTGCCCAAGTGCAGCACCCTGCACTTGTCAGTATTGAATCCCAGCCTATTTTCATTCGTCCACCCCTGTAATCTGTCCAGGTCCAATTGTATCTTGTCCCTCCCTTCTAGCATGCCCACCTCACCCCAAATCTTGGTGTCATCAGTGAATTTGAACAGGGTGCTTTTCACCCCCTCATCCAAATCGCTAATAAAGAAATTGAACAGTACAGGCACAAGGACCAAGCCCTGGGGGACTCCACTGCCCACATCCCTCCAGGTCAAATATGACCCATCCACCACCACTCTCTGGGTGCGGCCCGTCAGCCAATTTGCAATCGATCTGACTCTGTAGGCATCAATGCCACAGTCGCCTAGCTTTTTAATGAGAATGGGGTGGGAGACCGTGTCAAAAGCCTTCCTGAAGTCCAGAAAGACTGCATCGACCATGACCCCTGCATCCAATGATTTTGTGACCTGATAGTTGAAAGTAATCAGGTTGGTCTGACAGGACCTGCCCCTAATGAACCCATGCTAGCTGCCTCTGAGCATCATCCCCCCCTGCTGGTCCGTCACAGATGTGCTCTTGGATAATTTCCTCAAAGAGCTTCCCCAGGATCGAAATAAGACTAATGGGCCTATAGGTGCCTGGGTCCTCCCTCCTCCCTTTTCTGAAAATGGGAACTACATTGACCTTCTTCCAGTCTTCTGGCACTTGGCCAGAGCACCACAAGTGGCCAGAGCACCACAAGTGCTAGTAAAGCCATGCCAGGGGCCCCGCGATAACCCCTGCCAATTCCCTGAACACCCTGGGGTGGAGAGCATCTGGACCTGCTGATTTGAACACGTGCAGCCTCTCCAGAAGTTCCCTAACTTGGTCCTCCCTGACTCTAGGCCTGGTGGATTCTCTCCTGAGTCCGTCCTGAATCCTGGTGGGGGAGATGTCTCGGTCCCTGCACAAAAAAATGGAGGCAAAGAATTTGTTAAAAAGGTCTGCCTTTTCCTCTGGTGCAACCACCATTCTTGGCATGCTCTCCCTTCCCTTCCATCCTCAGTAGCCTGATCCTTTCCTTGCCCACTGCTGCTTCTGTCCCCAGAGTCCCCAGGTGAGCTACTCTGGTCGCCTATAGCTGGGCTCAGCAGGCAACAGCAGGGTTCCTCCTCCCTGCCCAGTCCCCCCAGGTGTTCCCTGCCAGCCCAGGAGCAAACATAAGGTGGAGGAATCCACTTTGCCACAGGTGCACCTCCTGTCCCCTGCTGAATCCATCTGCACCAGCTCCAGAGCCTCTTCCCACACAGCCTCCCAAACTACAACACTCCCAGTTTATTTCACAGAGGGGAGGGGCTGCAGAACAACTGCAGCTGGGTTCAGCCAGAGACAGTGGCAGTGGTAGGCTGGGGTGGAGGTGAATGGAAAGGGAAGGGGATCTGCTTCTGAGGATGGAAGGGAAGGGAAGGGTGCTGAGATCAAGGTTGGGGTAACTGGATTCTTATACCATTTGGGGTCTTAAAAAAAAGTTGCCTCTGCAGCACTATGCAAAAGGAGGGGTGTGTCTACACCACTACACCTCCTCTGGGTCCACCCCTGCTTGGAACCATTCTCTAGCAGACAAGCTTGCCATCATTCCATTCCCTCGGTTTTAGAATTTAATTGCATTATAGTTAATGAACTAACTTCCAATCCTCAACAAGTGGTCAGTCCCCACATACCAAACACCCTGACCTGACCTGTAACTCCTGATTTGCCTTGACTTCAATCTCCTGCTGCCTTTGCTGCCAACTGTGTCCATCTTCCTTGTGTCAAATTTGACAGCATTCTCAGTGTTACACATACGCAGCCCATATGTTTGACAAATAGCACCAAGTGAGTAGGGAGTTTTCTTAGTGTTCTCACTATCCATTGGAAATTTTGCTTTATGATTGCAGAGAATGATGAGGAGCAGGAAGCTCTGCAATCCTTGGACAAACCTGGCTGGTATTCCCAAGGTAATGCTACCCAACTTTATGAACTGTTGAAAAAGATGACCGGCAAGTTAGAACCCAAGGTATGTCATATAAGGAGAATGCAACTTGACTGTATTCTAGTTTCTAGAAATTATAGACACTGGTAAATCCTGTTCCACCCATCAAGCATCTGAGTATCTAAGCATGATCCTATTCTACCATGCTAGAGCACATCTTTACCATGCTAAAGCACATAACTATTAACACATCTTATCGTGTAATGGACCTTCATCCTAGCCTTGAGGTTTAAGTCATAAGAAGTGGTGAGGGGGACCTACTCACCTTTTGGGTTAATGGTTTTTCAGGGACTTGTGCAGCATGGAATAGGATTGCACTTAGGTGGTTAAGTGCTGTTTAGGTGCTTACCTGGTAAGATAGAACCTGGCCTTTATTAGGGATGTGAAAGATTAAACAATTAATTGTTTAACTGATAAGTGCAGCAATAACTGGTTAGTTTACCAGTTATTCTTTAGGTCAGGGTGGGTGCAGTCTGGCAGGGAAGTGGGGAAGGCAAGCTGTACAGTACCCCAGCAGGACTCAGAAGGCATCAGGGAAGCAGAAGGGAGGGGAAGTGAGGAGAGGTAAGGGGGACTAGTACCCATAGCCTAAGAGGAAAACAGGGAGAAACCTAATGTCTCATTAATTAAGCAATTAGCTGCTGGTTCACAGGTGCTTCCACCCACCCAGCAGAGGACTTCACATGGTCTGTGTTGTCTAGCTGGGTTCTCCTTCCCCACAGTCAAAGGATTCCAGGAGCCAGGAGTGGCTGCTACCAGCAGCTCTGTCTGAGCTGCTGTGTTATCAGTTAACCAATATAATTATAAGAGGTTAAAAGAGTATTTTTAAAAGATATTTGCATTCCTAGCCTTTATTGACTTTGTCAAGAAAAGGCAAACATGTTTTATTAGCTATATAATATGTATCCAACTACATATAGTATAGTCTTTCACCATAGATGTAAATATAATAGATGAACAAAGTAGTTCAGATGAAAACTAGGAGCATTTTGTCACTTCATTCGGTACATTTTGTGGGTGAAACTCTGGTTCTTTTGAAATCAGTGGAGGTCATATTTCACCCAATGGTAGACTATACATTAGGGCCAAAGTATCAAAAGTGTCTGTTTAAATACAAAAAGGCATGTGATGTTTTTCCTTTGTTTCAAGCTATCTCCAAAGCTTGCTATGTTTATTTAGTCTCTGTTTATTTATTTACTTTACTTTCCTGAGGGTCAAAATATCATATATGCTAACCATAGTATGGCATTCTTTTTGACAGCATCTGATGAAGTGAGGTCACAAAAGCTTGTATTATATATATATATATATATATTGGTTAGTGTGTGTATATAGATATCTATATATAGTATCTATAATGTATATACTATATTGTCTATAGATAAGGAAACTATATAGTATATACTTTATAGACTAACCAAAGGAGGGAGGGAAGCATAGATAGATAGATAGATGCTGTCTACTTCGGTTAGTCTATACAGGCACGTACACATATACTAAGTTGACTTATAATAAGGTGACTTAACTAAGCTGGCTTAACTAAGGCGGCTTAACTAACATGGCTTAAATTAAGCCATGTTGGAGTGTACACACATACAGCTTCTTGACATAGTGGCAGCCATAGTGTGAGCTAAGTTGACTGAACTAATGCGACTCAAGATAATACACCTTATAGGTGTATAGGTATTATCTTGCATCGCATTTTAAGTGAACTCTGTTCCACATACATACGTATGCTCTGACAGTTAAGTCGTCTTAAAAAAATTAAGCCAGCTTAACTGTCAGAAAGCTAGTACATGTGTACACACCCTAAGGTGCAAATCTACCCTGCCTGCTACAAATTATTTTGTAATGTCACAGGAAAACCAGGAGAGGTGTTCAAAGGCAACCCACATGGAGTGAGAGACCTGAAAAGTGAAGTGGCCTTGAAGAAAAGAAACTGACACTAATAATGTGTGTGTGTGCGTGTGTGTATCCTGGCCAACTGAGCATGGAGGAATCTTTATTTGGTTAGGCTTTTTTCAGGACATTTTCTCTTGTTTGAAACAGTTTCTTGTGTTTTCTTCAAATATATAGCACTTTTAATTTGCTGCTTCCCTTTCAGGTTGTTTATTTTGGTGACAGCATGCACTCAGATATTTTTCCAGCCCATCACTATAGCAACTGGGAGACTGTCTTCATTTTAGAAGAGCTTAGAGGGGATGAAGTTATAACGCCTGTAGAGACTGAGTCTGAGCCTTTGGAGAAGAAAGGAAAATATGAGGTAAGGGTTCCTTGCAGCTGTTTCCTAGAACCAAAAAAAAAGAAACAGTGCAGGTGGCCTAAACTAATTTCTAAGAAGAAGAAACTAACTTATCTTGCAAATCTGTTGACAGCATCAACATTTTTTCATGCTTCCTCAAAATTATGCCAGCATGTAGTAGCTTGACGTGTTTAAAGGCTTTGTTTATAGAAAGATTTCTGTGCATGGCATAGCACTAATGTCCTACAAGTTTCCATTTCTGACACTAACCAAACTAAATCTTGGCACAGAAGAAAGGTATATCTCCTTCCTTTAGTCAAGCAACAAGGTCTTTGGCATTTTATTCAGGTGAACCTTCCCAATATCCCATGAGCTAAACCTCCAAAAGTGCTTACTGTCAACACCTGTTGTAAAAGTCAGTCAGTCATCTGACGTGAATGTTCACACCCTACTACGGTCTTCTTAGTCATAAAGCGTCTCTGAAGTTGGTCAGCTGTAGTATCCCTGACTGTTACCATAAATAAATAATTCAAAGTTAACCATGTCTGGGATAAAGAAACATTGGTGACTGTTTGCATTACAGTCGCCCTTAAATTATCCCAGGGCCAGGATTAGGTTCTGGCCTGTTCTCCGCTCCACTGAACAGCAGAACTACCTGGGAATGAGCAGGGGAACATGTTGTATTAATTGAATTTAAAAGATGATACATTCAAGTAAAGGGTGACAGGGCTGCTCCTGCAGTAGATGCCTCCCAGGAACCGCAGGAGCAATGCATTTCTGTGTGCACATCTTGGCTAAAAAGAGACACGTTTCAATTAGTGTCCTGCACTTCAGTTACTTCTTCAGACTGGTAATATTGGAACTGCTTAGCCTTGTAGGCCGCATCCACACATGCAGTTATGTGTGGTTTGTGGTGTCACATTGCATATTAAGCCATGCCTGGCTCTGCTAATTGGCAGTACCAGGGGCAAAATTTATTATTGGGATTTCCTTGTAGCAAAAAAAACCAAAAATCCCTGCAAAAAAAACCAGCGCAAAGCATGTGAAAAATAGCATGCATTGGGACAAACACAGAGGCGGGGGAGCAGGAAGCCTAAGGCTGCCTGCTCCCCTGTCTCTTCATGGTGTGGACCCCCCACACTGAGACACACTCAGCACGTCTGCACGTTCATTAATGTTCAGTAGTCACTGCACATTTAATTTAGTGCTTGCTTAATGAAGTACTAACTAAATGAACAGTAACTACAGTTACTGCTCAGTAACGCTGGCATATGGGTTTTCTTGTAATGCTTACTGCGCAGTAGTGTATTAGCACAGTTTTTGCCTGGCACACTACTGTGCAGTGTTATTAGGCTACTGCACATGAAGCGTCTCATGTAGGCACACCCACTGGGAGCAGGCAGCTTTGGGCTGGGTTGCTTGGGCTGGCTGCTCCCCTGTCTCTGCGAGCCAGTCCCTGGCTGGCTGGGGTGCAGGGTGCCTTAGTGCAGGGGCTGCCTGTCAGCTAGCCCCGTAATCAGTCAGCCTGTGTCCCAGCCAGCCTTCACTGCAGCATGTGTAACCTGGCTGGAAACTGGGAAGAGCTGGGCACAGGTAGTTTGTCCAAAGCAGGACAATTTGTCCCTCAACAAATCACACATTCCAGGGGCAAGCACTGTGACGCAAATCAGCAGCACAAATTTGTGCCGCTACTATTTGTGCTATTTGTTTGGCATTTTAAACCAATCTATCTGTGCCAAATTTCTGTTCTGTTACAGGTATGGATTAGTTTTGTGTGCTGAACATCTGTTTTGTTACAGGTATAGACCAGTTTCTGATCACTTATACCAGTAAAAGTATAATGTCTGTACCTGGCTAGTAAGGAGCAAAGCTAGAGAATGAAAGACAAAACCTTACCTGTTGAGTTAACAGATGCTGGGAATTAGAGATAGTCAAGACATGGGGAAACCAGTTCACAAAAAGGGACTATTTGCAGTACGTGCATTCCACAGAGTTCAACATGGAATGGTTTCTCTGTCTGCAGCTTTTGATGATTTTTATCAACATATTTATCAAAACAGGTTTCTTTTAAATTGTTTCTGTATTTGCAACCTGTTTTTATTAAGCAGATTATTGCTGTAGCAATTCTAAACATGATATCAGAAAACCAATTTTACTAAAAATATAAACAGTGCAGAAATTGTTGCAAAAAGGAGTGAAGAAAATTATTGAGGGTTTTGGAGAAAGAGTTCTTTCTTTAATACAGGATTTTTTTGTGAAAAATTTCAGGAACTTCTGTTTGGAATGTGTCTTCCTTAACACTGTTCCTAAATAAATCAGTAGTTTCCTTCTGACTGCAACTGGGTGCTTTTTCTCCCTTTTTTGGATTAGTTTATTTTTAAGGAGGAATATTTCTTGCTTTTTAAAATATAGTTTATTAGAACAGAGTTATATTAGTGAATGTTTTATACTAATTTGGGTACTTTTCTTTTTAATTTATCCCTACAGCATGTTCAACCCCACTGCTTTTTATAGGGAAAACTGGAATGACATAGACTGGTAATATTACTATGCACAATATTACCACTGTGTGCATGAGGGAAGTAGAATAGAAATAAAAACTGTTTTTCTCCTCTACTTTTATTAATAATATCAAATATATTCCTCTGAAGAATACTGCTTTCTTAGTTGAGGTCAAGCAAAGGACTTCAAAGTCAGTGAAATAAGTAAAGCAAACCATTGAAGATCAAATTCTTTCCTGTGTTGCAAAAAATAGAAAAGA